GAGAAGGTGGAGGTGAGGAAGGTGGGGTGGATGTTGGAGCTTGGTTGATCGTGGTGGTTGTGGGAGAGACTGAAGGTGGGCTCTCATTGGTGGGATTCTGCTGTGGTTCAGTGGTCTCTGATTGGTCGAGCTCTTGAGCGGTTGGTGGTGATGGAGGAGCAGAGGTGATGTTGTTAGTGGACTTCACGATGTCACTTGACGGTGGTGATGTAGGGAATATAAAGTTTGGCATGTTGTTGAGTTGGAAGAGTTCGTTGATCGTGGTGTTGAAGGAGCCTGGTGCTGCAATATTGTGGACGTGGGCATACATGATGCAGTATAGGATTTTGGTGGAGTCACCCACGGGCAATGGTGGAGATGTAGTTGTGGAGGCCTGGAGAACTGGGGTGGAGTCAGGTAGATTCCTGGTAATGGCAGCATATGAGGTTGCTTGGGTAGTTGGTGTCTGCTGTTGTTCAAGCTGTTTTTTCAGTAGTTCACGTCTGGTAGGGCATTTGGCCGCCAAGGTGTGGTGGTCGTTGTTGCAGTTGAGGCATTTGGGTGGAGTGATGGAGGTGCATGACTTGAAATCGTGGCCTTCAGTGCCACAGGTAGCACAGATCTTCTTGTCTATGGAGGGGCAGTTCTTCGTGGTATGCTGGTAAGAATAGCAGTTGTAACATTGAGGGATGTATGTAAATTTCCCTGCTTCGATAAATGTTGGATGGATGTGGAAGTAGAAGATGGCCAGGCCCTCATTAAGAGCTTTGGTTGCCATGCCGACGTCACTGAAGGTGACCTTCAGCATGGAGGAAGCTTTGGGAATTCTTGTGATGTGTTCTATCTTGGCCCAGGTGTTCTGGTCTTCAATTGATGATTTGGTTACAGAGATCTCTTGGGTTGTGATGAGTTTGTCGAGCTTCTTGAGAAACACAGTTCTCTTGGCTTTCATGGCTGGGGATGTTAGGACTTGGAATCCACGTTGGTGAAGGGTGGAGATAGCTTCGGTGGTGGTTAGTTTGCCGGCCTCGAGGTCATCTGTGCAGATGACCACAAAAGCTTCCTTGAGAGAGAGGATTGCGTTGCACTTGACTCGCAGAGTACCACTGATGGTAGATGCAAGGGCTAGTTTGGACGAGTCGTTGACTGTCCCACTCACAGGTTTGATCTTTACCCTGTTAGAATAATGCATGGTGAGTAAGCAGTGTTCCCCTCCCCAGCGGGGATCGTAGGGATGTCTAAAATCCCGCACGCAGTCCAACGTACGAACCACAGCCTGACTGATCCGGCACCGACTTTAGGTATCTGTCCAGCTCCCTCTTGAAGACAACCCGAGGTCAACTGGTAATGCCCCTAATTGCTGGTGGGAGGCTGTTGAACAGTCTTGGGCCCCGGACACTTAGTGTTTTCTCTTAGTGTACGAGGGTGAATTTCGTAAGTACAATCCTGACTTAACATCTGGTACATTTAATGCACATTACACCTGCTGTTACAGTTGTACCTCGGGGAGTTGTAGTTCATCTGTATTATGCACCCGGAGACAAGTGGAACTTCTGGAATACTACCTGGAGTTTACCTGGAGAGGGTTTCAGGGGTCAACGCCCCCCCCAGCCCGGTCTAAGACCAGGTCACAGTACTGTCTCCTTCGATGCTGACCTCAGCTTCCCTAACAATTTCCTGCCAGTAACACTGGCTGTATTAAATTTGTTCGTGAACTGTATATTACTGAAAATTGACTTGGCATCTCTGTTGGTCCAGTTTAATTATTCACACCATTTTCCTATTACATAAAATTGAGTGTACATAAATGCAGAAAATAAGAATTACTAAGTTCCTGGCAATATATCCTAATGCCTCCCTAGTAGGCAGGTATGCTAAATATTGGCCTTACCTATTTAGTGGGTTGATACCATATATAAGGGAGCAAAATTAAATTATTGTATAAATTTGGAAAATACCCGGGCCGGGACAGCACCGGCGAACCTGCTACTTACTAAGTTATTGTAGGTACACGTGATGATCAACGTCGTCCCATCACAGCGTCCAGTATTATCTTTCTTATCAGCCTTACTTTGGCCAGATTATTATGTATCTGAACCCTTCCAGATATCTATTATATTCACTCATTTCGTGGTGCCCGGTTATTGCCGATACACTCCTCAGCAGCGTCGATTATCCACGATCAAATTCCACAACACATCCCCGGCTAACGTAGACGTGACGCCATTTTCGTCGTTCTCTCCCGTTTTGTCTACCAGTACATCTTTGCAATTAATTTAGTAACACTTCCAGGTGTGTACTACATTTTCATTATTGAAATATTAATTTCTCTAAATTACAACATATTTTGCTTTACTTATTCAACTCGTTACAGAATATAAGGAAATAGTAGAGAATATTATTTCTCATCTCACAGAACATCTTTTAAAAGTCACTGAAGATACAAACTTACACACAAATCCCAGGAAAATTATTAAAATTTTCCATATATACCAACGAAATACTGCAGATTAAAATATTCTACTGAATTTAATTAATTATGCTTAACCCCTTAAGGGGTTACCTTGATGCCAATGAGATCCTGGTCCAAGGACTTGGATTTGTCCTCTCCTTCCTTAGATCGAACCTCATTCTGAAATTCCCCATGAGCTGAAAATTGTGGAATATGACACTTATGTGCAGGTCAGGACATCCACTCGCCACAAGTAGATTCTTCAGTCCTAGTGGAGAAAAAATATTAGGAATGAAGCCACTCGTGCTAAAACTTTTTTTCTAATGTCCTCAAATGTCTTTTTCACATCCCCATGGATTGTATGACCCCTGTGAGTTTAGAGCTTCCACCATGAATATTCAATTAGGTGTACTTAACATACTTTTTACAAGCACCTCCCCACATGGCTGATTATTAAATTATTGCATATTCCCGAGACATTATAATCAAAATGAAGCGCTAAACCTACAAGGGTCACACAACGCTGTCACAAAACAGATAATTAAGAGATGGTACATCTACATAGTTTCTAATTTCCAGTTTGCTGATCAGTTTGGTTCAGCTGACCTGGGAGAATACAGTGTTCAGGACTCGCAAAATCGTATCAATGTCACTATCTGGAGAGGGTTTCGGGGGGGGTCAACGCCCCCGCGGCCCGGTCTGTGACTAAGCCTCATGGCGGATCAGGGCCTGATCAACCAGGCTGTTACTGTTGGCCGCATGCAACCCGACATACAAACCACAGCCCGGCTGGTCAGGTACTGACTTTAGGTGCCTGTTCAGTGCCTTGCAAACAAATCACAGAATGGGTGGGGTATGAACCCATGGCAAGCGAATCTTGTGAGTTTTAGGACTTACTTGCCATGGGTTCAGACTCCACAAGTTCGGTGATATACAAAGTATTCAGGGAACTAAAGCACAGAGCCAATTCCTTAGATCGCGAGCCCCTCACCAGCAGTAGTAATACTAGCAGTCAGCAGCAACGGCCTGGTTGACCAGGCAAACATCAGACGAGCCTGACCCAAGGCCGGGCTCCAGGAGTAGATTATAATAAAGGGGGAAGCGCTAAACCCGTGGGATTATACAGCGCCTGTGGGGGGGATGGAAGGTATTCAGGGAACTGGAGCACAGATCCAGTTCCCTAGATCAAGAGCCCCTCACCAGCATCAAGGAACCTTCCTTGAGGGCTCCGGGAGTAGAAAAACTCGGAACTCAAAGGTTTATCAAAGTGAAGTCAACGAAGAATTCCGGAAGTGGAGAAGAGTTTATCTTCTGGCTGTATCACCTGGTAGTCTGGTCAAACTGTTTTAATATCATCTGGGATAATGCAGTTCAAATGTTATAACCTTCCATCTCTTGTTGATGGCAGATTATAACATTTCCTTGAAGAGGTGACAATAGATGACGTCAATTATAATCAAGGGGAAGCGCTAAACCCATAGGATTATACAGCGCCTGGGGGGGGGATGTGGAAGGCATTCAGGCTTAATTCGGGGAACTGGAGCACAGATCCAATTCCCTAAATCAAGAGTCCCTCACCAACATCAAGGAACCTTCCCTGAGGGGTAGATGACGTCAAGATTGTCCCCAACTTATGTTCTAAGGAAATGGAAGCGTACACCATCCCGTGGGTATTGCAACAAGGATGACATGGGGAAAGTGGAAGACTTGTCAATGAGAATTTACTAACATGTTTGGTATGCATAACACTATTATAATCACAGGGGAGCACTAAACTCATAGGATTATACAGCGCATGTCGGGTGGGGGGGATGGAAGGCATTCAGGCTCAATTCAGGGAACTGAAGCACAGATCCAATTCCCTAGATCAAGAGCCCCTCACCAGCAACAAGGAACCTTCTTAGAGGGGCATAACACTAACACCAAGGGACCTACCACATGCAATGGCGCAATGCTAAATTGATCTACTGGGAACCACTTAGAATAATGAAGATGACTTAAAGCTTCACCCATTACCAATGGAATTGTTACAAAATGCTAGCAGCTATAATATTTAAACCATCCCATACGATATTACAGCATTTCTACTAGATTGTCACGAGATATAGCACAAGGTAAACCATTATCTAATTCTAGTATCCTTCACCTACTAGTACCAGTTATTAATATCACTGCTACACTCCTGCACCTTTCATACTCATTATGGGGAAGCGCTAAACCCCCTAGAACAAGAGCCCCTCACCACCATCAAGGAATCTCAATACAGGTATCAAAGGTTTGTGTCCATTCTCATTACAAATACAAGTGCTCAACCTGTCGACTCAGAGCACCTGTGGTATGGGAGGCGATCTAGTTCCATCTAAGGGAAGGCAAAGTCGAATTCCTTGGAGCAATTTTTCCAGTTTGGGGAAAGGAGAAAACTATTGACTATATAACTCGTGTAAAGAGCAACTACAGTAATGTACAAATTCTGTACACAACTTTTTTAGTAACTGAACAAAATATTTAAGAAAATTAACTGAGCTCACTATTTGGTTATTATGAAGGTTTCATTAAAAAGAGCCTAAAATAAAAATGTTATATTTATTTATAGCACAAAATATTCTATAACAAAATAAATAACTTATATTTATTTAGGTAGTTCATTATGGAGAGGCTGCTAGTGTTTGTATTTAATTATCCGAGTACATGAACTTGCTAATAAATCTGAATTTCTGAAGCTTCAGCAAAGTGCACTGTTAATTTATAAGAATTGAAGCCATGTCCCGTATCAAGGGGTGATAGCCATGAAGCCTGGTAGTGTAGCTTGGCTCTTTAATCAAGCTCTGTTTATCAGAGAATTCAGTGTTACTCCTAACCGTTATATATTTTCATATTACAGCATATATTACATATACGTATATACTGTGTAAGTTTTTATATGAACCGAGTATATAATCAATGTGGGGAATTTACTTCCGAATAAATAATATTGTCTCGCTGGCGTGTCTGAAGATAACATTAATCTGAGAACCAAGTGCAACATCTTCTATTCTTTGCACAACTGCCACACGTCCGCGACGTACAACCACAGCCGTTCCTGCAAGACAAATGAGTGCATTACATAGGTCCTTTTTTTCTACATCTTAAATTGCAGGTCACACTGCCATCCCACCGAGGCATGGTGACCTTAAAATGACGAAACACCTTCAGAATTTTTTCTTCTTTTTACATTTAGTAATTTATACAGAAGGGGTTACTAGCCCCTTGGTCCCAGCATTTTAGTCACGAATGGATTACTTAGGAAGGATTCTTCGCCACAAAATTATCTGCAAATGCTTGTACAAATCACAAAACTAATTCCTCTTAAAAAATATTCAACAAACTTTGAAGTCAATATACAGAATTTGTTTAAAATATTTCATGTCAGCTAAATCTAGTTTTAAGAGTTTATAAACACAAAACTGACACTGCATTTGTAAAATTAATTTTATTGGTAAATAATGCTAGAAATGCTTATCAAAAGCACAATTGTATATTCTCTTAAAGTTTAGGAAGAGTTTATGAGAGTACTGTCAAGTATTTAGAAAATAATGTTTATGAAAATGTGTATCCTGCCCACTGCCAACTTATGTTAAGAGACCGAATATCAATGTAATACTGTACTCGCATGTAAAGATACTTCCATAAGGCTAAAGGAAACTTATGTATCTGTTAGGTCTCTCAATTCAATCTACTTTCCCCATTCATACTAACTTTCAACACTTTTCTTGACACACTGGCCGTCTCCCACCAAGGTAGGGTGACCCAAAAAAGAAATGTGTACTTTCAATACATACCAGTAACAATTAAAGTATGGTCCTCCTCGCCGTGGAATGTAGTATCGCAAGTAACAGTGACTCGCACTCGCTTGGTTACCACACCTTCTGGAGACACACTGCTGCTCTCCTCCAGCTGAGGTGCATCTGCTCGGAACACCTGTGCATGTCCTAGCTCCTTTCCAGAGGAACTCATGATTCTGGAGGAAAAATTGTAGTTACAAGAAATGTTTTAAACAAAAAATTCTGGAAGGAATTTTTAAATTTATGTTTCACTACATCTAAATTACAAGCAGGCAATAAATTAAGCATTAGTGAATTTATTGCCAATGAGCACTAGTCTCTTACTCTTAAGCTAGATTAGGGAAGAATTACATCGAATGCAAGATTATAAAATTACTGTGACATAAGCAAAATTATCTACGAATGCACCTCAGACTGAAGGACATTAAGGATGCTTAATTTATTGGATATAGTATCATATAGTATCATTTAAAAGCTAAATTTGAATGAACTTTTAAAGACATACCTGAAGCCATCTCCAGGACTGACAGCTTGAATGGAAAAGCCATAACCTTCAGGGTTAGAGTCACTCCAGAAGTAGTTATTGTTGTTATTTAAATCATTGCTGGCAAATGTTAGTCGTTTACCATATCCACGGCCTATAGCTTGCAGAACAAGAGCAGCACCATTAAACAAAGGTCTTCTTGAATCTGCTGCACGTACACGATATTTGAATCCTGTGAGAATACGTGGATCCACATAGGTTCCAACCACAGGCATCTCATGTGGGAGAAGACCTGAAAAATGTCAGAAATAAATGTTAATAGATAAAAGTTAATGGAGACGAATGGTTTTTGGGACCTGATGAGCTGTTGGAGTGTGAACAGGGTAATATTTTCTGAAGGGATTCAGGGAAACCAGTTGGCCAGACCAGAGTCCTGGAAATAGGAAGTACAATGCCTGCACTCTAAAGGAGGGGTTTGGGATATTAGCAGTTTGGAAGGATATGTTGTGTATCTTTATACGTATATGCTTCTAAGCTGTTGTGTTCTGAGCACCTCTGCAAAAACAGTGATTATGTGTGAGTGAGGTGAAAGTGTTGAATGATAATGAAAGTATTTTCTTATTGGGGATTTTCTTTCCTTTTTGGGTCACCCTGCCTCGGTGGGAGACGGCCGACTTGTTATAAAAAAAAATTAATTATACATATAATATATATATATAAAAATGTTGTGGAGGGAGTAGTAGGTAAATTTGGGGTGCCAGGGGTAAATGTAAATGGGGAGCCTTTAATTGAGCTATGTGTAGAAAGAGATTTGGTAATAAGTAATACATATTTTATGAAAAAGAGGATAAATAAATATACAAGGTATGATGTAGCACGTAATGAAAGTAGTTTGTTAGATTATGTATTGGTGGATAAAAGGTTAATGGATAGGCTCCAGGATGTACATGTTTATAGAGGGGCAACTGATATATCGGATCATTATTTAGTTGTAGCTACAGTTAGAGTAAGAGGTAGATGGGACAAGAGGAAGGTGGCAACAACAAATAGGAGGGAAGTGAAAGTGTATAAACTAAGGGAGGAGGAAGTTTGGGTGAGATATAAGCGACTATTGGCAGAAAGGTGGGCTAGTGCAAAGATGAGTAGTGGGGGGGGGGGGGGGTTTGAAGAGGGTTGGATGAGTTTTAAAAATGCAGTATTAGAATGTGGGGCAGAAGTTTGTGGTTATAGGAGGGTGGTGGAATGATGAAGTAAAGGGTGTGATAAAAGAAAAAAAGTTAGCTTATGAGAGGTTTTTACAAAGCAGAAGTGCTATAAGAAGAGCAGAGTATATAGAGTAAAAGAAAGGTGAAGAGAGTGGTGAGAGAATGCAAAAGGAGAGCAGATGATAGAGTGGGAGAGGCACTGTCAAGAAATTTTAATGAAAATAAGAAAAAATTTTGGAGCGAGTTAAACAAGTTAAGAAAGCCTAGGGAACGTATGGATTTGTCAGTTAAAAGCGGAGTAGGGGAGTTAGTAGATGGGGAGAGGGAGGTATTAGGTAGATGGTGAGAATATTTTGAGGAACTTTTAAATGTTGAGGAAGCAAGGGAAGCAGTAATTTCATGCACTGGCCAGGGAGGTATACCATCTTTTAGGAGTGAAGAGCAGAATGTAAGTGTGGGGGAGGTACGCGAGGCATTAAGTGTGGGGGAGGTACGTGAGGCATTATGGAGAATGAAAGGGGGTAAAGCAGCTGGAACTGATGAGATCACAGAAATGTTAAAAGCAGGGGGGGATATAGTGTTGGAGTGGTTGGTACTTTTGTTTAATAAATGTATGAAAGAGGGGAAGGTACCTAGGGATTGGCAGAGAGCATGTATAGTCCCTTTATATAAAGGGAAGGGGACAAAAGAGATTGTAAAAATTATAGAGGAATAAGTTCATTGAGTATAACAGGAAAAGTGTACAGTAGGGTTATTATTGAAAGAATTAGAGGTAAGACAGAATGTAGGATTGAGGATGAGCAAGGAGGTTTCAGAGTGGGTAGGGGATGTGTAGATCAAGTGTTTACATTGAAGCATTTATGTGAACAGTATTTAGATAAAGGTAGGGAAGTTTTATTGCATTTATGGATTTAGAAAAGGCATATGATAGAGTGGATAGGGGAGCAATGTGGCAGATGTTGCAAGTATATGGAATAGGTGGTAAGTTACTAAATGCTGTAAAGAGTTTTTATGAGGATAGTGAGGCTCAGGTTAGGGTGTGTAGAAGAGAGGGAGAATACTTCCCGGTAAAAGTAGGTCTTGGACAGGGATGTGTAATGTCACCATGGTTGTTTAATATATTTATAGATGGGGTCGTAAAAGAAGTAAATGCTAGGGTGTTCGGGAGAGGGGTGGGATTAAATTATGGGAAATCAAATACAAAATGGGAATTGACACAGTTACTTTTTGCTGATGATACTGTGCTTATGGGAGATTCTAAAGAAAAATTGCAAAGGTTAGTGGATGAGTTTGGGAGTGTGTGTAAAGGTAGAAAGTTTAAAGTGAACATAGAAAAGAGTAAGGTGATGAGGGTATCGAATGATTTAGATAAAGAAAAATTGGATATCAAATTGGGGAGGAGGAGTATGGAAGAAGTGAATGTTTTCAGGTACTTGGGAGTTGACATGTCAGCGGATGGATTTATGAAGGATGAGGTTAATCATAGAATTGATGAAGGAAAAAAGGTGAGTGGTGCATTGAGGTATATGTGGAGTCAAAAAACATTATCTGTGGAGGCAAAGAAGGGAATGTATGAAAGTATAGTAGTACCAACACTATTATATGGGTGTGAAGCTTGGGTTGTGAATGCAGCAGCAAGGAGGCGGTTGGAGGCAGTGGAGATGTCCTGTCTAAGGGCAATGTGTGGTGTAAATATTATGCAGAAAATTCGGAGTGTGGAAATTAGGAGAAGGTGTGAAGTTAATAAAAGTATTAGTCAAAGGGATGAAGAGGGGTTGTTGAGGTGGTTTGGTCATTTAGAGAGAATGGATCAAAGTAGAATGACATGGAGAGCATTTAAATCTGTAGGAGAAGGAAGGCGGGGTAGGGGTCATCCTCGACGACCCCTACTTTATATTAATGCAGAACTAAAGCTATTGCTTTAGTTCTACATTAATATAAAGCATTAAATTCTCTGTAATCTCTTCCTATTAGCAATATAACAAAAAGTACAATTTACAAGATAAATAATACTAGATACAACTTATTTACCTTTAACGCAGTATTTTGTTGGGATATCGCCAATTTTTTCTCCGCTGACGACTGAAATAATGGATGATGTATCTGCTCCAGCCACTAGGGTATATCCTCGTTCTCCACCCACACTGCATTCCTTAACTATGGAAATACAGAATGTACATAAATTATACAATTTAATAATACTCAAGAAAAGGTTAACAGTTGCATAAATTTGATATGCTGAAGTTCACAATGAATTCTATATAATACTAAAACAGAACCAGAAAGGAACATTATTAATAAATGCAGATGCAGAAAAAATTATTAACTGTAAAACATATTGAACTGTTTTACCCAATTGCAATCTACTGCTATCTGAAAGTTTGATGAACAGACAAGACAGCTTCAATACTGTACTTATTACAAGCATAACTTACCTTCACTCAGGACAGCCCCAGCTCTGGAGCCTTTGGCCTTGATGGCCACAGCCACACCCTTTACCACCAACACCTTTTCCTTGTTATTTTCACCAAAGAAAACCTTGCATTGTAGCGACACCTTTGCTTGCTTTTTAATTTCACCATTCTGAAGGATGCGATGAGAAACCTCCACTTGGGGTCCCTGAGAATGAAACACCACATGCAGTTACAATGACTTTCCTTGTGTAGCAAATTAAGATTTTCTATGTCTAACATACAAATTAACACAATCTTTGGAGACTTGATATCCTGATGCAATTAACATATTAAGAATTATGCTGCTTAACAGCATGCAGTAGAGATAGTTACTAATCATGGAACAGGTGGGGTTTAAACCTATGACAAGCAAGTCCTAAGACTCACTTGCCATGGGCTCAAATCAAATAACTTGGGTAACTAATAGAAATTTCCTCACCCTAAGTTTGAGGACTTCTGCCGTAGCTACTGGCAAGTTATTAGCATCCCTCAGAGTAAACTTGTCACCCTGCTGGACAAGGCACAGGGCAAACCCATATCCTTCAGGGTGAGTGTCTGACCAGAAGTAATTGTTGTTTATGTTGTGGGAATCACTGGCAAAGGTGATCCTCTTGCCATAGCCCATTCCCACTGATAGTAGCCTCAAGTTACGCCCCTGAAAAGACAAAAGTAGTATCAATTACAAACTGAGAACAAAAAGTACAATACCAAGACGAACAATACACAAATAACCCGTACATCATATGTACATCATTATGTGTAAATTACAAACTGCAATGTTTTCTTAATCTGTACAGTCCTATACTGTCAACAGAGAAGCATTAGCAAGACAAAATGCAACCAACAGTTGCATTTAATTCTTTGGCAATAGTATATTTTCAACAGTGAGGTAAGTACTGCATTATAATCAACAGATCAATTTACTTGCCACAATAATTGAAAGAACTCTACATGTTTCACACTTGTCAAATACACATGTGGCTTGGTTGACAGTGCACTCAGTTCATATACTGAGTGTCAGTGGTTTGATCCCCAGCACAGGTGGAAATGCTGATCATGTTTCTTTACACCTGCTGTCTTTGTTCACCTAGCAATAAATGTTAATTGACTGTTGTGGGCTGTACCCTGGGGACAAGATTAAAGGACCCCAATGGAAATAAAGACAGTCCTCAATGACACACTAACTTTCTTAGGTTACCTGGGATGGCTAACCTCGAGTGTCAAAAATCCAAGCAAAATCTTATTTTACCTTGAAGAGCAGCTTGGTCGAATCTGCATGTCGAACTTGGTAGCAGAAGCCAGGAGTAATGGCTGGGTCAACATAGGTGCCGATCACAGGTCTCTCGTGTGCCTGCACACCTCTAACAGTATACCTTGCTGGCACATCCTGCACCAGGCCCCCATCCACCACACTTACACCTTGCCACCTAATATCACAACCCTCAAGCTGAAAGAGCGAGTACAGTAAGTCATGTGTTCACGGCTATGTTTTGTGTTGGTGGGTCGGCATTAAACTTGCTAATGGCTTACCAAGTTTGATGTCAACCCAACCAGTGAGTTTTCTTACTCTCAATTTTACTTCTACTTTACGTTTTGTCATATAGTGAATTTCAATATTTAATAAAATGTGAAAGTGACAAAAAATAAAATGCACATTGGTGAAGTTAAAACCAAAATGAATACAGGCTAATTTTTTCTTCAAAAAAAAAAAAAAGACAATGCAAACAAGTAAATGAGTGAACTGCAAATTCAGGTGCCGTGCAAATTGAAATTTAAGTTACATATGGTACAGTATTTCATTTTCCAAATGACAAATTTAAAAAAAAAAAAACTGATTAAGTAATATATAATGGCACGCAATGTGTTTAGTGCATTAGCTACTGATCTGGAATCGCCTTTAGGATTAGGTTCTTTTTGGAAATGCAGAATAGACTTTTTTGGTATGTAAATGGAACTTGATAATTTGCAAATAAAGAGCTATTCCACTTCGGAATGTTAGATCTGATTTGAGCAATATAGTTCGCGTTTTTTTTTTTATAAGGGTGAGCAAGTCAGGTCTGACAGACAGGAGTACAAGATGGTCATGGTGGGCAGTCTTCCTCGTAGCACCGATGATCCATTTCTTCTACCAGCGTTCCTCTTGCATCCTGTCTTCTCATGGACTCCCAGTGCCTTGCCAGACCCGAATAATGGATGGCTATTGCCAGTCTTAATAGTAATGGTCTTTTAACTTTACTTCTAAAACCAAACATTGAGGAAAAACGCAAGACGCATTTATTGGACAGTTTCCAGACCAATGAGCTCGTGGCACAGTTAACAAATGCAAGCATTCACGTTACTTAGAGGGGCTCATTCGAGATTAACTCAGTTGAGATAGTCTCGGTGTGCCGGGGAAGTGTCCAGGGGTCTGTAAAGGAGAAGGTGCACGAGCGCCAACGTACCAACAGCCCCATCCCACCACCCAACCCTGCCTTAACTTATTCCTATATACTCTTACTAACACTTTCTAATCAACTCCCATGAACTGCACTCACTCTGTCTCTTAATGTATTTCTCTTAGTACAACATTCAAGCCTGATCAATAAACTCTTCCATATTGCTTAACTCTGTGGTAAATTTGAATTAAAACTATTCAGGTATAAATTAAAATAAACTTATTATAAACTGAGCCTTTTAAATGCAAAATTATAATTACTGAACTTATAAAATAAAAAATATAAGAGGTTTAAATGGATTGCCAATGAATACAATTTTTTGGAATGCCTACTGGAATCCTGGACACATCTGGCCATATTAATGTGTTTAACATGTACTGTCAAAAACATAGGTAAGCAGCTGCTGTTAGTTCTAAACACTCCAGATGATTCCTATGTTCCAACTTGACAAACCAAGAACCATACATCAGGTTCCAAATGTAAAATTTAATTTTCTTTTTTCAAGTTTCAACTAAAACAAAAAGTACTTAAAGAAAATACCAACAGAGTCCTATCTAATGTACGATAATTTTTATTAGTGTAGTGGAATGCTTACCGTGGTAGAATGATGGTGCACAGCTGCTGCTTCTAGCCTGCTCACCTCCCCGGCCTCCTCTAACTCTCTTAAGCCATCCTGCAACAAACAGTTTATTTAGTCAGTTTGGTAAAAGTAACAATCATTCAAGGAACTATTAGTGGACACTTAGCATACCCTCCAACAACAAGTTTTTATGTTAGAAGAATTTACAAAAACTAAGCAGAATATATATTACTATTAGATCAAATGTTCTCTTAAGTGCTAAAAACTACAAATTATTTAAAAAATCCTAGACTGACTTGAAAGCTGAATGGGTGGGTCAAGTGGTAGCCTCCATATTTCATTACCACTTGCCAGTACAAATACAAATTTTAATTTCTTTGCAAAGGTTATAATGAGTGCTTTGCATTTTATAGACTGTTGTCAAGTACCAAGAATGCCACTAGCATGCCTAAGCATTACAGGCAGTAAATTTAATATGAAGCGGTAAGACCATGTGAATCTTTTAATGCTAGTTATATTATTATTATAATAAAAAAGAAGCGCTAAACCACAAGGGCTATACAGCGCTGCGCAAGTAGTTATAGATTATTTGATGGGGTGTGCAGGGTTGACTTCCCTCAGGTCAGTGAGGTCACCACCACAACAAGCAGAAGTACTCACTAAATTACAGCTACAAGTTTCTACAGCAGTTTTGTTACTGTGCATGTGAGATAATAGATGGGTTATGGCACATTATCTATTAAAGCATTTCGTTCGCCAGGACTTCAGTAATTCACGAAATGATGAATTCCCTGTTGGACAAAACATGCTCACAAATAAAATGTCATAACTCACATTGTTATTGACTCAATGTTGGTATATTGTATCAATTATCAGCTCTGCTACTCATTTATATCCACTTTCAACTAGGACTTGCACCCTCCTAGTGGCTGCTTATTGTGTATAGCTCTTAGTTTAGGCTAAAAGTTACATAAGCCCCTCCCCTGCAGATACTGACAGCATAAAAATTACAATCATAACCACCACCAGACGATTGGGCAAGTTTGCTTACACCTGCTACCTCTGTTGACCTAGCAGTAAATAGGTATGTGGGTGTTAGTCAACTGTTGTGGGTTGCATCATGGGAGAGGATTAAAGGACCCCAATGGAAATTAGCCAGTCTGATGGCATTGTTCTACTTGGTTATCCTGGGTCACTAATCATACAGGTTAATAATCTGAACAAAATTATCTCCCTGGATTTTATGTCTCTTATGTAATTTGTGTCAATTCCTCATTTCAAATTGCTGGTCCTTTAAAAATTAATATTGCCAGTCAAATCGCAGAATGGTTGTCAATTAAACCCACGGCAGAAGAGTCCTAAAACTCGGGCCACTGTGATTAACCACTGGTCCAGCCTTGGACCAGTGGTTAATCACAGTGGTGTGCACAATTGCAGGCAAATCACAAAATGGGTGGGGCTTTAACCTGTTACAGGTTCAAGCCCCACCCATTTTGTGATTTGCCTCCAATTGTGTTATTACAATTTCTTAAGTTACTATTACCAGCTTTAGGCACAGTATACAGCAGGGGTCCCCAACCTGCAGCCATATATGGCTCTTCTAGGAAATGGATGCAGCCCTCACATGAAATTATGAATTCACTATGCAATGTGGAACTTACACGTGTCAAAAAAAACATGCGGCCTTCATCACACATTTGACCATTAAATGTGTAGGAAGGGTGAGGAGTACTGGTGTAGAGCAACAACCCTCTATAAGTAAGTTTATTCAGGTATACACAAATACAGTTACATAGAATTATCATACATATCAGCATATGTGTAGAGAACCTAGGATAACCCAAAAAAGTCAGACAGAGTGATGGACATAGCCTCTTGGAGATGCAGTTGAAAGAATATTTGGAGGCATCTTTGGTGGACCAAGATCAGAGACTCCAAATCACCCATCGAGTATTCACAGATTATATTTAAGGGAGTGTTAAACTCCTAGGTGTCATAGCTCCTGGGAGACAAGTTCAAGTGAAGGAGAGGTCTAATACCTTGAATGCAGAGCCCATCATCAGCATCAAGAAATAAACAAGTTTATTTAGGCACAGGTACAATTATCTGTGTAAATTACCTAGGATAACCCCAAAACAAGTAACTGACTTTTTCCACTGGGGTCTTCCCTTAAAAGAAGCATTCAAATGAGGAGCACTGCAGTAGGCCCACTGTTCCATACTTTAAGCTCTTATTTATATCTGTCTTTCTACAAGAGTGCATATTAAGAGATCTTTATAGGAAAGATATCTTGTAGAATTCATTAACTTTATGATCCTCTGCATATTCTCATTGCATTTAAATTATTCTGTAGCATGGACAGCAGAACTGCATTGCATTCTCAGCCAGTCACACTGGCATCTGTAATACAAGTTTATCAGCTAGGAAGCCAATAAAGATACCAGTAATGGTACTGTGTTCCCCTTTAAATTCTCCGATACCTCTAATATTCAAGTGGGCAGCGAAAGCAGCCTTGGCCTGGTTTTTTTTCTTTCTTAAAGTACACAAATTTTACTAAACACTAATACCTCTTGCAAGTATTGGAATGTTTTAAAAATCCCCCCAATGCAACCCACAAACGTCTGCTACCACCTGCTACAAAGAGCTTTGATGACATGGTCCTTAGGCAAATAGATAAATTAAAACCTAACAAATCCCCAGGCCCTGATGAACTGTATGCAAGGGTTCTAAAGGAATGTAAAGAGGAGCTTAGCACACCTTTGGCTAATCTTTTCAACATATCACTACAAACTGGCATGGTGCCAGATAAGTGGAAAATGGCAAATGTGATACCTATTTTCAAAACAGGTGACAGGTCCTTAGCTTCGAACTATAGACCAATAAGCCTAACCTCCATAGTGGGAAAATTTATGGAATCAATAATTGCCGAGGCAGTTCGTAGCCACCTTGAAAAGCATAAATTAATCAACGAATCTCAGCATGGTTTTACAAAGGGGCGTTCCTGCCTTACGAATTTATTAACTTTTTTCACTAAGGTATTTGAGGAGGTAGATCATGGTAATGAATATGATATTGTGTATATGGACTTCAGTAAGGCTTTTGACAGGGTCCCACATCAGAGACTATTGAGGAAAATTAAAGCACATGGAATAGGAGGAGAAATTTTTTCCTGGATAGAGGCATGGTTGACAAATAGGCAGCAGAGAGTTTGCATAAATGGGGAGAAATCAGAGTGGGGAAGCGTCACGAGCGGTGTTCCACAGGGGTCAGTGTTGGGCCCCTGCTGTTCACAATCTACATAAACGACATAGATGAGGGCATAAAGAGCGACATCGGCAAGTTTGCCGATGACACCAAAATAGGCCGTCGAATTCATTCTGACGAGGACATTCGAGCACTCCAGGAAGATTTGAATAGACTGATGCAGTGGTCGGAGAAGTGGCAGATGCAGTTTAATATAGACAAATGCAAAGTTCTAAATGTTGGACAGGACAATAACCATGCCACATATAAAACTAAATAATGTAGATCTTAATATTACGGATTGCGAAAAAGATTTAGGAGTTCTGGTTAGCAGTAATCTGAAACCAAGACAACAGTGCATAAGTGTTCGCAATTAAAGCTAATAGAATCCTTGGCTTCATATCAAGAAGCATAAATAATAGGAGTCCTCAGGTTGTTCTTCAACTCTATACATCCTTGGTTAGGCCCCATTTAGATTATGCTGCACAGTTTTGGTCACCGTATTACAGAATGGATATAAATTCTCTGGAAAATGTACAAAGGAGGAGACAAAGATGATCCCATGTATCAGAAACCTTCCCTATGAGGATAGACTAAGGGCCTGAAACTGCACTCTCTAGAAAGACGTAGAATTAGGGGGGATATGATTGAGGTTATAAGTGAAGACAGGAATAAATAAAGGGGATGTAAATAGTGTGCTGAAAATATCTAGCCTAGACAGGACTCGCAGCAATGGTTTTAAGTTGGAAAATTCAGATTCAGGAGGGATATAGGAAAGTACTGGTTTGGTAATAGAGTTGTGGATGAGTGGAACAAACTCCCAAGTACCGTTTAGAGGCCAGAACGTTGTGTAGCTTTAAAAATAGGTTGGATAAATACATGAGTAGATGTGGGTGGGTGTGAGTTAGACGTGATAGCTTGTGCTACCAGGTCGGTTGCCGTGTTCCTCCCTTAAGTCAATGTGACCTGACCTGACTAGGTTGGGTGCATTGGCTTAAGCCGGTAGGGACTTGGACCTGCCTCGCATGGGCCAGTAGGCCTTCTGCAGTGTTCCTTCGTTCTTATGTTCTTATGTTCTTATGTATTGTGGTTATATCTCCTTTATTTTAAAAATGTTTTAAAAATTTCCCCAATGTGTAACCTAATCACATCTTCCCTCATTGGTGTCCCGTAGCTCAATCACTAGTGCACTTAGCTCACACACTGAGGTCCGGAGTTCGAATCTCCGGTACGGCTGGAAAACATTAGGACATGTTTCCATAAGACACCTGCTGTCCCTGTTCACCCATCAGTATAAAATTTGGTACCTGGGTGTTAGTCGACTAATGTGGGTCGCATCCTGGGACAAAACTGACCTAATTTGCTGGAAATGCTCAACATAACAAGTGGCTTTCTATATAGTAGCATGTCATTGATGTCAGCCTGCATACCTTGTACATGTACTTGTAGAAATAAAGATATTTATGAAGGGGTTCAGGGAAACTGGCAGGCCGGAGATGGGAACTACAGTGCCTGCACTCTGAAGGAGGGGTGTTAATGTTGCAGTTTAAAAACTGTAGTGTAAAGCACCCTTCTGGCAAGACAGTGATGGAGTGAATGATGGTGAAAGTTTTTCTTTTTCGGGCCACCCTGCCTTGGTGGGAATCGGCCAGTGTGATAAAAAAAAAAATGGTTATTCTAAATCTTTTAAGGGAATAAAGATTCAGTGCTCTCAATCTGCACATGAAAAATCCTTTATACAATATTTATCTTATTATTTTTTCAGTACAGCCTCCAATGCAATGGCAGTATATATTTATACCATATTATGGAGACTAAGAATTGCTCCACAATCCAAATGAAGATTTACTAATGTGGAGAACTGTAGAATAACCTTTGGACTGTTATTTATATGGTATATTTCTTAATGGAAATCCAAGCCATATTACAGATATTTAGGCACTGCTGTCTTGGCTTCCTTTTTCTGTTACCATAATTCCCAAGCCATTTTCACATTTGTGATCAAGTTTTACATTACGTAGTTGACAAGTTCTTGGGATATTTTCATTCCTGAGGATTAGGATTCAATATGTTTCCATACTGAAGTTCAGCTGGCATCTTTCTGGCCACATAAGAAGCCTTTCCCAGTCATTCTGACCAGTGGTATCTAATAGGATGCCTAATTTTGTCTAGGCAAATTTACTAATAATAAATGAACACTGACAAATTGCAGCTGTAAGAAATGAATAAATTCCCGATCACGTCACTCTTTTATTCTCTCACATTAATACATGTACAGTATATATAATGAACAGCTAAGAGCCCAAAACTGATCCTTGAGGAATACCACTCAAGATTGGCCTCCATTCAGATTTCACCCAAGTGCTTTTGGTCCAAGGAATTGAACTTGTCCACCCCCTTCTTTGGATCAAAGCTGCCTTTCATTCCCCAGGCACTGTATGACCGTGGGCTTAGCAAATCTCCTAAATATAATAGCCCTATTTGTAGAAACTGTGCCCCATTGTCCATGACAAATAAAATCTGCCCGAAATGCTCAGGCATGCTAGTTAATGGCTTTCTTTGTGAATAACAATATTTTTATAACATGTAAGTCTCACGCTGTATAATATGCAGAAATAAAATTTGTATAGGCTAACTCATGCAGCAATATGTTTCTCATTATGTTCCTCAGGCCTTGTGTGTGTGAAACAAATCCAAATATTAGTTATTATCATGGTTAGAATGACTCAAATGCCTTACTAAGGTAAGTAAATTGTTAGGCATTAACTTCTAATTATACATTATGGATTCTAATCATTTTTCCTCTACTGATATCAGATTGACGAGTTGGTAGTGACTTATCTTCCAAGTTGAAGATAATAAATACTGGAGCTACATCCGGTACTAAGTTCCACCTTGCATTTCTTTCAAGAACCCTTGAAAACAGTAAAGACCTGGGGACTATTATTTTTATTGATATTAGCCATATTACATATTACTTTTATTGGTCCACCTGTGATGTTATATAATGTTTTCCCTCAGACATACAAGAACAATTTATTTCTTAAGTCTTCTTGTGTAAAGGCCAACAGAAAATAATTATTAAAAACTGTGTTATTATCAATAAGTTTACCAGTTAGTTTTCAGTGGATCTAACTTTTTTCTAATCTTTGCTCCATATACTTGGAAGAAATCTTTGTACATGTATTTGTCTGGTTCATTTATAGCTTTAATTTCATGGTCTTTTTTTAGCTTTTGTTATTCCTTTTCATTTTTCTCTTTATATGACCATACAAGGTGAGCCTTTTATTTATACGCCTATAAATTCCTTGAAATTTTATCCCGACTAGCAGTTTATCGCTTTCTTTTATTATATTAATAATAATAGGTGGCCTGGTGGCTAAAGCTCCCGCTTCACACACGGAGGGCCCGGGTTCGATTCCCGACGGGTGTAAACATTTCGACACGTTTCCTTACACCTGTTGTCCTGTTCACCTAGCAGCAAATAGGTACCTGGGTGTTAGTCGACTGGTGTGGGTCGCATCCTGGGGGACAAGATTAAGGACCCCAATGGAAATAAGTTAGACAGTCCTCGATGACGCACTGACTTTCTTGGGTTATCCTGGGTGGCTAACCCTCAGGGGTTAAAAATCCGAACGAAATCTTATCTCTTATCTTAATAACAACCCTGACTAGGGACCTAGTGATTGAGACAACTGCTTGCAACAGTGAGTAGATATGGCGCTTCTTTTGGCCTGTTATGCGAGGATACAAGGAGTGGGGTTCCAGGTGTGTAGTGGTGCAGGTGTGCTGGTTGTGATAGGTGGGTGGTGATCGTGTGGGTGAAATGGCGAGGCAGGTGGGAAGACTGGCGTGTAGTGATGGGGCTGGTGGGGAGGCAGGCGTGTAGTTATGGGGCTGGTGGGGAGGCAGGCGTGTAGTGATGGGGCTGGTGGGGAGGCAGGCGTGTAGTGATGGGGCTGGTGGGGAGGCAGGCGTGTAGTGATGGGGCTGGTGGGGAGGCAGGCGTGTAGTGATGGGGCTGGTGGGGAGGCAGGTGTGTAGTGATGGGGCTGGTGGGGAGGCAGGCGTGTAGTGATGGGGCTGGTGGGGAGGCAGGCGTGTAGTGATGGGGCTGGTGGGGAGGCAGGCGTGTAGTGATGGGGCTGGTGGGGAGGCAGGTGTGTGGTGATGGGGCTGGTGGGAAGACAGGCGTGTAATGATGGGGGCTGGTGGGAAGACAGGCGTGTAATGATGGGGCTGGTGGGGAGGCAGGCGTGTGGTGATGGGGCTGGAGGGGAGGCAGGCGTGTAGTGATGGGGCTGGAGGGGAGGCAAGCGTGTAGTGATGGGGCTGGAGGGGAGGCAGGCGTGTAGTGATGGGGCTGGAGGGGAGGCAGACATGTACTGATGGGAAGACTGGCATGTAGTGATGAGGCTGGTGGGAAGACTGGCATGTGGTGATGGGCTGGTGGGAAGACTGGCGTGTGGTGATGGGGCTGGTGGGGAGGCAGGCGTGTGGTGATGGGGCTGGTGGGGAGGCAGGCATGTGGTGATGGGGCTGGTGGGGAGGCAGGCGTGTAGTGATGGGGCTGGTGGGAAGACTGGCGTGTAGTGATGGGACAGGTGGGGAGGCAGGCATGTACTGATGGGGCTGGTGGGGAGGCAGGCGTGTACTGATGGGGCTGGTGGGGAGGCAGGCGTGTACTGATGGGAAGACTGGCGTGTAGTGATGGGGCTGGTGGGAGGCAGGCGTGTAGTGATGGGGCTGGTGGGGAGGCAGGTGTGTACTGATGGGGCTGGTGGGAAGACTGGCATGTAGTGATGGGGCTGGTGGGAAGACTGGCGTGTAGTGATGGGGCTGGTGGGAAGACTGGCGTGTAGTGATGGGGCTGGTGGAAGACTGGCGTGTAGTGATGGGGCTGGTGGGAAGACTGGCATGTAGTGATGGGAAGACTGGCGTGTAGTGATGGGGCTGGTGGGAAGACTGGCGTGTAGTGATGGGGCTGGTGGGAAGACTGGCGTGTAGTGATGGGGCTGGTGGGAAGACTGGCGTGTACTGATGGGGCTGGTGGGAAGACTGGCGTGTACTGATGGGGCTGGTGGGAAGACTGGCATGTAGTGATGGGAAGACTGGCGTGTAGTGATGGGGCTGGTGGGAAGACTGGCATGTAGTGATGGGAAGACTGGCGTGTAGTGATGGGGCTGGTGGGAAGACTGGCGTGTAGTGATGGGGCTGGTGGGAAGACTGGCGTGTAGTGATGGGGCTGGTGGGAAGACTGGCGTGTAGTGATGGGGCTGGTGGGAAGACTGGCGTGTAGTGATGGGGCTGGTGGGAAGACTGGCGTGTACTGATGGGGTGGTGGGAAGACTGGCGTGTACTGATGGGGCTGGTGGGAAGACTGGCGTGTAGTGATGGGGCTGGTGGGAAGACTGGCGTGTAGTGATGGGGCTGGTGGGAAGACTGGCATGTAGTGATGGGAAGACTGGCGTGTAGTGATGGGGCTGGTGGGAAGACTGGCGTGTAGTGATGGGGCTGGTGGGAAGATTGGCGTGTAGTGATGGGGCTGGTGGGAAGACTGGCGTGTAGTGTTGGGGCTGGTGGGAAGACTGGCGTGTAGTGATGGGGCTGGTGGGAAGACTGGCGTGTAGTGATGGGGCTGGTGGGAAGACTGGCGTGTAGTGATGGGGCTGGTGGGAAGACTGGCGTGTAGTGATGGGGCTGGTGGGAAGACTGGCGTGTAGTGATGGGGCTGGTGGGAAGACTGGCGTGTAGTGAAGGGGCTGGTGGGAAGACTGGAGTGTAGTGAAGGGGCTGGTGGGGAGGCTGGCGTGTACTGATGGGGCTGGTGGGGAGGCTGGCGTGTACTGATGGGGCTGGTGGGGAGGCTGGCGTGTACTGATGGGGCTGGTGTGTGGTGGTACAAAATGTGGTGGTTGATACAGGTGGTAGTGGGGCGGGTGGGGGTAATGGTATAGTGGGGCGGGTGTAATGGTTCAATTCAATTATTATTATAATCAAGGGGAAGCGCTAAACCCGTAGGATTATAAAGCGCCTGGGGGGGGGATGTGGAAGGCATTCAGGCTTAATTCGGGGAACTGGAGCACAGATCCAATTCCCTAAATCAAGAGCCCCTCACCAGCATCAAGGAACCTTCCTTGAGGGGAATTCAAATCAAGTTTATTCTCTATAAGGGTTACAATGTGGGGTTTACAGGTTTTGGGTATTGTGTGGTTTACATGTTATAAAATACTAATTACAGAGGGGGCCACTAGGACACCTAGCATGGCTAGGCATCTCGAGCAGACTTAGATTAATTCTTAACATTAAATACTTACAGATTATTGTATTAAGGCTAAGTGCTGTATAGCCCTTGCGGCTTAGCGCTTCTTTTTTATTATAATAATAATAATAATAATAATAATAATAATAATAATAATAATAATTAAGGCTAAGTGACTACATCATAATTTGTGAGTTTAGCAATGTGAATGGTTTTGTTTTGGCACAATACAAGGTGATACTTACCTTAGGTTGTTGTTGGAGAAAGTTGTCCCAGGTGTGTAATTGTGGCAGGTTTGGAGTCAGACCACCATGGGATGAACCTCTCTCAAGTTTCCTGCCCACACTCCACCAGAACCTGGTCAGTTCCTCAGACATGGCGGCCTCACGGGCACCAGCAGACACGGGTAGCGACGCCATCACCGAATACTGAGAAAAAAATATTCTTGACGACCCTAGAGAAACTTCGCAGTCTTACAACACAGCAGGACCTTCCGGTGATTTAACTGCAATATAAAGACTCCTTCAAAGGAAGGTTGTTGCTAGATCTTGCGGTGGTTTAAAGACTTCTGACGGGAGGTTGTTGCTAGATGATCTCGAGGTGATTTAATGGCTATGCAAAGATTTCTCACAGGAAGGTAGTAATGTAGGTCGTCGCTGGATGCAAGCTGAGAGATCAATAGTCCCGGGCAGCTGGGGTGGAGGTATATATATCCTGCGCCATAACTCTCTCCTGAGGCCACAAAAGTCACCTACTGCGCCGGGGCTTGCCATATTACCATTACATCTCTTATTATATATTTCATGACAGTAATTACACTTAGTTGTAAATACAGTACATCACATTCAAAGAAAGTTGATAATGTAATATGCTGTCACATAATTATTACGAAAAAAAGATAAGGTAATGAAGGTCAGGTTACCTGTGATGATGCCTGACATTTAGTTATTTCACTTTTTTTTATGTATATAAGTTATAAATAACATAATGATGATGAAGTATTTTTTATTCAGGTCAATAACGAATAAGTTTTGCAATTTCCCCCATAAGGTAAAAATTATAGGAAAATTGTGGAGTCAAGTCATTGTTGATTGAGTTGGTCCACGTGATGATCATGTGACCTTCACGTGACCTGTGTGAACAACACACAAGGCTCCTCATGCCCTGCACATACCCATTAACTGATAAAAATACATTGTACAACTTCCTACGCATTTCACATGGAAACCTGGCACACAGGCTTCAAGAGTGCGCATGTCACTACTTATCTCTGAGGTTTCCGCAACCCCATATCAACATCTTCTTCTTATAGTCAAATTATATTTTGATTTTTTGTTATATACTAAAAGTTAATAAAGAAGCAAGGCTGGTGTATGGTGTGAGGTTTGTATAAGAGTGTAATATGGTGGTTATGTACGGCTGGTGTTGGTTTGATCTATGGAGGTTGATGCCAGTGGAATTCTCCACTACACTGGTGTTGGGGGAGTGAAAGCTATTACCCCCCATCTCTACCATCCGAAACCAACTCTTTCAAAAGTATTCCACACACTCATGTGTCTCACAAGGCACACATTCATGTACGGTCAAAGTCCTCTGAAAATATCACAGCTATTCCTTGTACATACTCAAGTGTGGAGATACTTCAAACAGTTTTATGATCAGGTACGATAGAGCCCATGAGGCTAGGAAGGAGTCAGTCTGGTAGTCCTTTTGTTGTATCTCCTTTAACTGATTTTAACGCAGTTGAGTTATTTAGCAGTTTTATCTGTTAAGGTTATAATCATGACTGATTTCTACTGTATTTTACAGCTAGGCTGTAAATATTAAGCTATTACAAGGGCCTAAATTAAAGTCACTTTGACTTTGGGGTTACCCTATGAAATGTAAACATATTGCTATGTATGATAAGTGTACTTATGTGTACCTGTACCTAAATAAACTTATTTTAATGTTGAAAACAAAAACATCCATCAGGCACTGATCTTACGAGATTCAGCTTTGGACTGGTAAAAAATATTGTAAAGGGACACTATCTGCAGAATAAACCTTTATTTGAAGACCATGTCTCGCCCTCACAGGGGTTTTATCAAGTCAAAAAAATGGCACATGCAACACGACACAAATACAAAATGTCCAAGAGAATGTTTATTCTGTGAAGAAAACGAAAAATAAATCATTTATGTTACAAAGAGACTTTGTGCTCACCCTCTGCTTATTACAACACAGAGGTTTTTCTCAACACTCAGATTTAAAAGAAAAAAATTCTTTATCAGTCAGCCAAACTCCAAGTTAATTCATAGTTGAGGAGATAAACGTCCGGGGAAGACCTCAAGGAATTTAGACATGTACATCAAGGCACATAAATATGGGTGCTGCATACATAACACCAACAATAATTGTGCCATACATACTGTAGAGGTGACCACAACCATCTTGTGAAATGGACAGAGATGGAATTCAACGTCAGGAGATGAGATATAGACGAAAATGTTTAGAATCTGATAGTTGAAGATACTTGAAACAAAGGGCCAAGTAGTGTCACTAAGGAGAGTACTTCGGGTACCTTTAAAAATAGATTGGACAGGTGCTCGAGCGGGAATAATTTTGTGAGTAGAATCTGTTAACAATATTGATAGAATTACCGACATGTTAAGTAAAGGGATATGTGTAATTAATAAGACATTTTATTGTGGCTAAATTTCACTCTCCATGAGCTTCGTCAAGCCTAACATAGGCCAGTAGGCCCATGCTAAGCTTGACAAACTTCTCTTTTCTGTGTGCAGGTTATCTGTGTAATACCTACAGCAGCGTTCATCTACTCATGTTGCACATCCCTCAAGAAAGGTTTTTTTTTTTTTTTGACGCCATTGAGAAGCTCTTGATCGACAGCCCCCCTACTTCGGATAGAACTTAATTTCATCCCATTTTCCAAGTTGATGTATGACCCCTACAAGTTTAGCACCCCTACAAACGTAGTATGATGAACAAGAAGCCACACTACCATAACTGGCTATTTGTGTAGTATGCACACCACAGGAAAATCCCACATATCTGTTATCACCTACAGATCCTGCCCAGCTTCCTGTCACTTCGATAAATGTCGTGTTATATAATATTAGTACATTAGCGTAATAAACTGCCAAGTAGCGTCATTGAAGCGAGTACAACAGGGTAGCTTGAAAATTGGTGTGGTGGGTACACTAGTGGAAGTGGGTGGGTGTAAGACATACCCACTCTGGGCTCATAGGCCTATTACTCTTGTTCTGGAAATCTGGAGAATAGGCACCGCTGTTGTAATACCAACAATGTAGACATAGTTATACACATGTCAAGATACACACTAAAAAGACATTTTAACCTATTTGGACTCGTTTTCCGACTTCATTTACATAGCTTGTTTTAGATATTCATAATAACCATAATTTTTAGAGGGGTAAGCCAGTGGAAGAATTTGTCAGATGACCAAAAGCTCCAGCTGTGGGTCATTATATGACCCTAATCAGTAAACACTTGTCCTGTTTCCTGACAAATCTATCCTATTACACATCCCTACTTATAATTATGTGTGAAAGTTAAGACACATGTGCACATTGTCGGTATTTTATACCTTTCTTACACAACTTATAATTATGTGTGCAAGAAAGGTATAAAATACCGACAATGTGAAAGTTAAGACACATGTGCAACATCTGGATATCTTTATTGTAGTAGACGTTTCGCCATCCAGTGGCTTTATCAATACAGATTCTAGGACATAATAGGAAGACAGTAGAACTATATACAAAATATGAGGTAATCAGTCCCTCGGCCTTGGAGTTAGTGTTCACAGATTCTCCTCCACCACGATGCTGTGAACACTAACTCCAAGGCCGAGGGACTGATTACCTCATCTTTTGTATATAGTTCTACTGTCTTCCTATTATGTCCTAGAATCTGTATTGATAAAGCCACTGGATGGCGAAACGTCTACTACAATAAAGGTATCCAGATGTTGCAGATGTCTTAACTTTCTTATAATTATGTCTTATTTAAGCTGTTATCTCCTCTCTTTGATAACTTTGCAATATTATTTAGGAATTTCCGTATTTCTCATGATAGTACGGTTTTTATCTTTTGGGAACTTACTGTCCTGGAAAGATAAGTTATCTGGCGACCCTGTTCATCTGAATTTTATCTTTCTTCTAAGCCGGTAGGAGACCTGGACCTGCCTCGCATGGGCCAGTAGGCTTGCTGCAGTGTTCCTTCTTTCTTATGTTCTTATGTAATTATACCTCTATTACATAAAACAGCGCAAATTTTCTTTTTGATTATGGAAAAGAAAGAAACTGTAGGGAAATATCTCTAACGTGCAAATTTAGTGATATCACACAATTATTATTATTATTATTATTATAACAAAAAAGAAGCGCTAAACCACATGGGCTATACAGCACTGCAGTGATATCACACAAGATAAACAATACAGACAAACTTAAGAAGATGCATGTAGTGTTTGGGAACTTGTATGGTGGAAAATGTTCAACCGGGGCTGACTGAAAGTCTTTAGTGGGCGAAACGTCTCCTAAATATAAATTCCTTTTACATGGCACATTACACAGATAACCCGTACATAGGAGAGAGGAACTTACAACGACGTTTTGGTCCAATTTGGACAAAATTGGACCGAAACGTCGTCATAAGCTCCTCTCTCCAATGTGCGGGTTATTTATTGTTCCAGTCGCGTTATTGTGCCTTTTTATTCAATTTAATTCATTTCAAGTTTATTCTCTATAAGGGTTACAATGTGGGGTTTACAGGTTTTGGGTATTGTGTGGTTTACATGTTATAAAATACTAATTACAGAGGGGGCCACTAGGACACCTAGCATGGCTAGGCATCTCGAGCAGACTTAGATTAATTCTTAACATTAAATACTTACAGATTATTGTATTAAGGCTAAGTGCTGTATAGCCCTTGCGGCTTAGCGCTTCTTTTTTATAATAATAATAATAATAATAATAATAATAATTAAGGCTAAGTGACTACATCATAATTTTGAGTTTAGCAATGTGAATGCTTTTGTTTTGGCACAATGCAAAGTGTCTATATTGGAGTATCATAGGCAAACTTATGACTAGTTAGGATTTATTATTTTACGTACGTACTTACGTTCTTTACGTACATGTACACATAAGTGCAATACCATACCTAGTAACATGTGTAAATTACCTACCTGGAGGGCATTCCGGGGGTCAACGCCCCCGCGGCCCGGTCCACGACCAGGCCTCCCGGTGGATCAGGGCCTGATCAACGAGGCTGTTACCGCTGGCCGCACGCAATCCAACGTACGAACCACAGCCCGGCTGATCCGGCACCGTCTTTAGGTATCTGTCCAGCTCCCTCTTGAAGACAACCAGGGGTCTTTCCCTACTCTTCACTGGGGGTATGTTGCATCGCCTGCCAAGTCTTTTGCTTTCGTATGGAGTGATTGTTGTGTGCATATAACCCCCAAAATTCAGACAACCCAAAAAATTCAGACAAGGGACTTATTTCCACTGGGAGTCTTGTCTGAAAAGTTGACTCTTATACTGTTTACCTGGAGTTCCGGGGGTCAACGCCCCCGCGGCCCGGTCTGTGACCAGGCCTCCTGGTGGATCAGAGCCTGATCAACCAGGCTGTTACTGCTGGCGGCACGCAAACCAACGTACGAGCCACAGC